AAAAAAAAAAAAAAAGAATTAAAATCGATTCAATTCCACCTAAAAAAAAAAAAACAAATCCCAGCGTGCAGCCGTAAACAGCAACAACAACAACAACTATAACAATAATATTATTAACAAAAACCAACAAGAACAACCAGTAGCCTAATATTTGTACCAGCAACAACAACAGCAACAAAAGTTTAAAAAAATTAAAAAATAAAATAAATTTTTTAGTAATTTTTTATTTTGGTCTATAATACAATTTTGTATTCTTTGTTAGTTTTCTTGTTATGTATTGATTGACTGATTGATTGATTGATTGCCCATATAGTTTACATTGACCTTCAATATGTCCTAGTGTCACATTGCGCCAATCTCTTTGACTCATATGCGATTTTTGCCATTTGTTTTCTATATATTGCAGGAAAAAGAAAAGGAGAAATTATGATTAAAATAAAAAAGTAATTCCTAAAGACAGCCTAAAAAACACAAAATATAAATAAATACTAAAAACGAAGTATAATTGAAAGCAACATATAAAAATAATATATCTTAAATGAAAATCTGTTAAATACATCCAAGAGAAATCTCTCCCTCACACCCGAAACTTTTCAACTTTTCATAAAATATTGTATGAAAGAACATTTTGTTTAGTCCAATTGTATTTTATTATAAACAAATTTATAAATGAACAATTTAAAAGGAAAAATTCAAGAACTTAACATTAACAAACGAAAGTGATAGCAGTTAAATAAACACTAAAAAAAAAAATCGGAACTTAGCCACTTTAATGGAATCTATGGATATTGCGGAAAGATTGAAGACAGATGAAGCCAACACCGAAAACGCAGTACTATTAATAATACTACTACTATCAAAGATGTCACACATACACACACACATACGTAGCACTCTATCCGCCATTTTTGTAGGAAAAAACATATTAAAATATGAAACAAAAGTCCAGAAAATGTTGTACATAACCTATAAAAAAGTTTATTGTTTAGTGAAAAAAAGAAAAGAAAACAATTGAAACGCAAAATTTAGTATTTATTTAATATATATTGAAATGTCTGAGGTTTTTCATTTGTAGCTAGATTTTTGTCTGTCCTTTAGGTTTTTTAAACAATTTTTTCGGGGTGCATCAGTTTCAGTTCTTTTGGCTGCAATCAGTATAAAAA